GACAGTGCAGACAAATTGGCTGAGAGACACTTAGCATCTACAAGTGAAACCTCTATGCAGAAGAAGGATACAACAATTGGCAGATACAAATTACTCGAGACCATTGGCGAAGGATCCTTTGCACAAGTCAAACTGGCCATCGACGAACTCACCGGTAAGAGGGTTGCCATCAAGACCATGGACAAGACTCATCTTAAGCCTGATTCTATGTGGAAATTATATAGAGAATCAAGAACAATGAGAATGTTAGACCATCCGAACATATTGAAATTATTTCGGGTTATCGACACGAAAACAACCTATCACATTATTATGGAATACGCCGCAGGAGGTGATATGTTTGAATATATTGTCCGCCACGGTAGGATGGATGAAACAGAAGCCAGGGCGAAGTTTAGGCAGATTGTCTCTGCGGTGGAGTACTGCCACAAGAAGAATATTATTCACAGGGATTTGAAAGATGGAAACATATTGTTTGATAGCGAGATGAATGTAAAAGTTGCCGACTTTGGTTTCGCAAGAGAATTCACCCCGGGAATCAAAGTACATACATTTTGTGGTAGCCTACATTTTGCAGCACCTGAGATTTTTATGAATATAGAATACGATGGGCCTGAAGTTGATGTTTGGTCATTAGGCATAATTTTATACTTTCTCGTAACAGGAACTTTGCCCTTTGACGGTTCAACACTACCAGAAATAAGGGCGCAAGTGCTTTTTGGCGAATGTCGGATCCCTTCTTATGTGAGCACGGACTGTTCAAATATCCTGAAGACGCTTTTGGTTAGAGATCGTTGCAAAAGGCCTAACTTACAAATAATCCAGGAAGATAAGTGGTTGAATCAGAAATCTGGAAACTCAAATCCTCAAATGGGCAAAACAGGTAAACTATCAACTGCCATTTTCAAGAGGTAATAATGATAGTGTACTCTAGTTGGTCGGCAGTTGAATATTATTTATGACAGAATATAAGACATATCGACAGGAATAAATGGATTCAATTTCATATTGATGCAGATCATCATTGTATCTGCTATTTTTCGTCCTTTATTAAATCATTACAAATATTTCTCGCATTTTCTATTTCTAATAATTGGAACGTAGTAATTGAACCTAATGCATTTTTTTCCGCTTCCAGTTATTGAGTCTTACTCAAACAATCTGACTGATGTAGCCGAACAACTATCCACGGGACATTTGTCTCAAAAATTCAAAATAATTACCTGTATATAAATTTGTGATGAACCTTTTAATATTCAATCCGTGATATTTCCCTTACCTGAGGGTTCTTGTGATAATTTATGTGGAAGGTGTTTCAATTTTCTATGCAATGACTTTCACTTTACTAAATTTCTATAACCGGTTGCGCACAAATTTTCCGATTTATTTAAAAATTAATATTGATTGAAAAGAGGAACTAATTAGTAACATAAGTGATACATAAGGACATACAACGAAAGCATTTTACTTCAACATCGTTATTACTTAGATCTCATGTATAAATTGATTCGACCAAATGTTTGGATTATTCTCCTCAAACGTCTTGACTTATTTTTAAATTTTGGAATGTGTCTGAGGTAATGCTAACACACGTTTCGGTAAAACCAATGTCGAGCGCGGCTATTCGCACATAACAAAACTTAAAGCGCTATAATGAAGAGTGGAACTACTGCGAAAAACGGATTAACGACATTGACTCGTTCCTTTACTTGGAGAAAGAAAACATGGAGCTTTGAAAGAAACGAAACGAAGAACCAAGAGGATTCGAGGAAATAGAGTTGAATCAACAACGAGAAAATTGATGCAAAAAGAAAGATACCTACCGAAAGCAGATGATGAAATCATTAGTATTATATTTTGAGAACGTATAAAACATTGGCTGACAAGACATATAATAGAAATGAAATAATCTTGCTACAAAATGATCTGAAAAAAGCGTGAGACAAACAAGGGAAGAATTAATAGGACTGTTTTAGTCTAATTAGTTTCTAACTCGAAGGAACATACTACTACTCAGAATGTTATATTTTTAAGTGTAAGATTATTAATTGAAAAAAAAATTGAATTTTTCTATAATGGTCCTATGGTGTATACGAAGTCAATTCGAATGGAATAAAAATTGAATAGTTACCGAACGTCGGCAGTTTCTTTGTATGTCATGGGCGGCGTGGTATTCATTCGAGGTCTCATTATTTTTATGTGGGAGGTTTTATATGATATTAACTATTAGATTCATCAGACACAGTGCATTCGTATTTCATTCAGCTGTTCGGATTGACTTCGTATAGACTCGTAGAAAACTCAATTATTTCAATCAGTGACTTTAGTAATAGTTATATTCGATGTACCCCAAACCAGAGATTCGCACAGTCACTTGCCCATAGCGACCCGTGTCCACGGCATGCGTCGCCATGCCAGCAATAAATGAAGTTTATTAACTACGTTACATTAGTATAAATGTTTGTAGCAAGTCGTTCAAGATACATCAATAGGTTGATAAACTTTTTTAAAAGATTAATAAAAATTAATGATTGTATATAACATACATATATCACAGATTTCGAAAATGGGTGACATATTCACTGACAGAATAAAAGCAAAATCTCAAAAGATAAGCCTTTAATGTTCTTTTAAATTTGGTTATACTAAGGTTCTTCAGTAATTGTAAAGACTATAATCCAAGGTATTTTTCTGACTCTTACTGAAACGGTACCGATTGGTACGAATTCTGTTTGCATTTCTGGTGTTATAATCATGTAGGTATATCTGATTGTTTTGTCAAAGAGTCCGTGTTTTTATGTATTTCTACCAAGTCACTGTACAAAAATAAAGTTGGTAGCGGTATTATTTTCAGTTTTAAGAAAAGAGGTTGACAATGATCTCTGCAACCGGCATTACTTAAAATTCTGATAGCTTTTTTCTGAAGTTTAAAGATTTGCAAGGCATCAGTGGAGTTACCCCAAAGTATAACACCATAGGTTATAGGTAATGCCCAATAATTTGACTGTATTTATACCTGATGAAGTATTACTAGTAGAAAAACATAATTTTTGAGTTTTTTTCTGAGTTTAACTCGAAACGCTCAACTGAGAACCAAGTTGTGGCTTTATCTTCTACCTGTTCAGATACTTTAGAGAGTTCTGATGACTCTCTATGTGAATAGATGAAGGTTGTATCATCTGCAAAGGTAACAGTTTTGAAGGGGTTCATGAAAGATGAAATGTCATTCACGTAAATGATAAACAAAAGTGGACCCAATACGGACCCATGTTTTACTAGTTTGAAATCTGATGTAATATTATTAATAGATACGGCTTGATGACGATTTTTCAAGTAGGATTTTATAAGTGAAAGAGGAATGCCCCTGATTCCATAGTAATGAAGTTTTTCAATCAAAATGTCGTGAGAGACGCAGTCGAAGGCCTTGGACAGATCGCAAAGCGTAATTGCTGTGTGAAGACACATCACTGACCACTTTAAGAATAGCTTGTGTTGTTGACCGCTCTCTACGAAAGCCAAATTGACATCCATTAAAAAAAAATTGTTTTTCAAAGTACTGATATAGTCGTTGTTTAAGGATTTTCTCCACAATTTTTGCAAAAATACTTATGATCGAGATTGGACGATAATTCTCGATAAGAGAATTGTCACCTTTTTTAAATAAAGGAATAACGCGGGATAATTTGAATGCACTTGGAAAAACACCAGTAGTGAAAATTAAATTAATCAATTCCGTAAGTGGCTGTAAAATTACACTGCAAGTCTCTTTGATGATAATGCTATTCAATTCATTGGCATCGAGACATTTTGAGTTAGTCAACGATTTGATAACATCTGAGACTTCAATTTCGGTAACTGGACTCATAAAAAAAGAGCTACATGGTACCGGATAGTTTTTGAAGTTCAATATGTCAGTATCTGACACATCAGGTAAGGTTTTTATTATAGTGTCAGCAAACTGAACATAAAAATCATTGAATTTGTCGGGAGAAATGCCGATATCCGGTGACGGGTTGATAGTTTTATTACTTTCAAAATTAATGATTTGCCAGCATGCTTTTGCTCTATTTTCTGCTAATAAAATGAAGTTATCATAGGAATGTTTTTTAGAAATTTTCAGTTGCTGACTGTGAATTTTTCTAATATTTTTATAGCCTGATATGTATTTGGGATCTTTGGTTATATCAGCTAAATGTTTAGTATTGGCCACTTGTTCTCTTAAATTTTTTAAAGATTCATTAAACCATGAAATGGGTGACTTATTTTTAAAAGAATCATACCACCTGATCGGAAACATTTTTTTAACCAGATCACTGTACGTGTCAACAATAAATGAAGATAAAAATTCAACGTCATGGGAAATTTTGGAAGCATTCCATTCAACATCCGAAAGCGCTTGCCTCAATTTTGATAATCCATTCTTGTTTACGTTACGAGTGTATGTCTTGTGGTTAGAGATTTCCGGATTTATTTTGAGTATAAAATATTGAGCACGATGGTCGGATAAACATGGTTCGAAAACCGCCATTTGGTAAAACTTTTTTTCCAAATTGGTAAAAATGTTATCTATGCAACTAGCACTTGTGGATGTAACTCTAGTAAATTCATGGATGGTGAAAATCAGCCCAAATGATGTTAAAATGTTTTGCAAGTCATTTGAATATGTTGAATTTTGTTCAAAATCGATATTGAAATCACCAGCAATTGGTTTTACATGCGGCTATAAATGTTCCACATAAAAAACAATGTTGAAATATGCTTTTCCCCCGATGAACGACAACTGTCAAAACTTGTGCGAGCTGAAGACTAACGAGGTCTTACCTTTTAACGTGTGATTCTTAACGTGGGTTGGACAATAGGAAGTGAAAATTGATCGTCTGGCCTTGCGATTCGAATCACCAGATCACACAGCGGTCGACTAAGTGAGTGAAGCTATCCACCCACGTGAACCCACAGGGTTACCGTTATAATCTGAATTTTTCAGTGCACGGTATACTTACTTGGTTCCCTTTTACTTTTATCAGTTCTTTGCATCTGTCAACAATATAAAAATATGCATCCTCGTCATAATATGCTACATCTCCTGTATGCAACCATCCATCTTCATCGATAGTTTCAGCGGTAGCTTTCTCATTGTTCAAATATCCCATCATTATCTAGAAAACGAACGAGAATTCATTGCCGTCTTTTCATTTTCTTAAATTATACCTGTGGTCCTCTCACTAACAGTTCTCCAGTCTCGTGAGTACCGAGTACGTCTCCATTCTTGAGACTCACAATTTTTGCCTCTGTTCCGGGATACGGAATACCTATCGTACCTATTTTCGACGGAGGAGTCAATTTTGGCATAAGGAAGGTGACTGGAGCACTTTCCGTCATTCCATATCCTGAGAAGCAGAAAAAAACATCAATGGCGAATAGAGGACAAACAAAATAAATGATGTTTGAAGGTGGTTGACAATGTTTCGTGGTGAAAATTAAAAGCTGAAAATTAAAAAAAATCAAAAAATATTATTAACAAAAAATTAAAATTAAAAGATTCCAAACCAAGTTACGTCACGACGTTTCGATTGTTAGTATCCACAATCGTCTTTAGGTCTTCCTCTGAGATCTGACTATTTATAGGTCATTCGAGTGCTTTCACCTATCCCCTCTTCCTTCTCTCCGCTTCGTTGGTTTTAGCGGGAGATTACCGTTTGGTGGGAGTTGGTCGTTTTCCGCCAGATTAGAGGTTTCCATATGTTACGTGGCTCTACGCTAGGTTGGCTAAATGCGTTGTTGGACTACATATACGCGGCTTCTTTGAATCTCGTAAACCAGTGTTCCTCCTTGTGGACGATTTCAGCTTGAGCCCACTTGATGTTATGTTGATGAGTCTGAACATGCTCTGCTATTTCGGATTTGCTGGTTTCTCTTCGTTGTGTGTGTTTCTTGTGCTCAGCAATGCGAACTTTCAATGTCCTCTTAGTTTCACCGATGTATGATTCTCCGCACTCGCAGAGTATCCGGTAAATGCAATTCTTGGAATCGCAGTCCGCGTTTGGTGGCCTGGTTTTCGTGAGGCTGCTACGGATAGTATTCCCAGATCTGAAGCAGGTTCTGATGTTATACTTGGACCCAATCCTTATCCTTTCCGATAATCCTCTGATGTAGGAAAGTACAAGTACTGGTTGTGGCGGCTTCTCTTCCTTGTGGAGCTCTTGCTGTCTTCTAGCTAAAGCCTGTTATACCATCTGGGGTAACCATTCCGTTGAAGGTCATTTTTGTTGATGCTTAGTTCCTTTTCGAGATCTTCCTTTATATTACAGAGCCCGAAAGCACTACTAGAGTAGAGTCTTATGAAGGTGTCGTCTACGTATCTCCACGATTGTGGATACTAACAATCGAAACGTCGTGACGTAACTTTGTTTGGAATCTTTTAATTTTAATTTTTTTGTTAATAATATTTTTAATTTTTCTTTGATTTTTAGCTTGTATTAATACTTCATTTTTTTCTGGTTGTTGCTTGTATGTTATTTCTTTCCAATTTTAGTTTTTTGGTTTAATAAAATTGTTATTTTCGGTTAATCATTTTTTTCAGATTCTTTCAGGGATTTCAAATCAATTTATATTATATTAGACAATGGAAGTCCAAACTGATGAAATAAAATAAATGATGTTTTTCAAGAAATCATTCAAAATAGTAGTATTTGCGAAAAGTTATTGGTGGAAGATAATATTGAATTTGAACAGATTTTATAATCGTTTTCCATAATTCGAACTAGATACTTCTATAAGGATGGTTCGACCTAACAAAAATACAATTTTTCTGAATTTATTTTTAATTTTCTCCCAGCGATGATCCCATCTCTGTTGCCCGTCCAAATATACCCAGCGTTTTTCTTTGGAAAATAATTGTTCACGAAGGTGATTGCCTCTTTCTTCGACAAAAATCTGTCCTCCAAGCGAAATTTTTAAATAAAGGAACAGAAAGAAGTCGCTTGGGGCTTGATCTGGTGAATAAGGCGGATAGTTAAACAGTTCAAACCATTATTCGTGGATTTTTGCCATGGCAACCGCTGAGATGTGAGACGATGCGTTGTCTTGGTGAAACAGGATTTTCTTTGTCTGCAAATGTGACCGTTTCTCTACAAGTTCTGCCATCAGCTTATCAAGTAATGATGCGTAGTATGCTCTTGTAATGGTTTTTTCTTTTTGAAGATAATCAATTAAAATAACTCCATATCTAAAAGCAGTCGTCATCACTTTCCCAGTCGGAAAAACAGTTTTTGTTTATTTTAGAACCGGTTTCCTCCTTGCAGTTCACTGTTTGGACTCGAATTCTTTCTGGCATATAATCACGTATACAAGTTTCATCTACAGTAATTATTCGGCGGCGAAACTCGGGTTTATTACGCCTAAATTGCACCAACAGAGCGTTGAAAATGCTCATTGAAACACGTTTTTGGTCTAACGTGAGCATTCGCGGCACCCAAGGCGCGGAGAGTTTTCTCACGCCTATATATTGATTTAATGTGTGATAAACACATTCTTTTGACATGCTCATAGTCTCTGCTACATTCACATCAACTCACTCAAACGATTGTTACATAACGACGTCCAAAATGGCTGAAGGCTTTGGTGAGTAACTGTCAACAGAAGTACAACTACTATCTTCATGTTAAGATCGAAAACTTTTCAGATCACCCTCGTATTACCGAAATATCCGGGTAGAACAGAGACACGGAAGAGGAATGAAAGAGGATTCAGGTCGAGAATATATCTTTCCTTCACAAAATCTGAGAGATTCACCCCATCTTTGTCAGTGGGGCCCAATTTTGAGCTTTGCGTATCTAATTTTTTTTATGTATAACTAGTATCGGTAGAGTACACAGTACACACCATATTGCTTATTGTTTTATGAGCGATTTTGTGCTTTAAGTAAACCATCATACTCACCATTTCTTATCGAAACGTCATCCCTATTGATCTTTTCTCTGAACTTCTGCAACATTCCTTCTGTAAGTGGAGCTGCACCCGATTGAATCCCTTCCACAGAAGATAGATGATCAGCAGTTATGGCAGGATGTGTAGCCAAAAATAATAGAAGCGAAGGAACTACAAACAGAAAAGTTGGTCGGTACGTTTCGAGCGCCTTGATGTAGTCTTCTGGAGAAAATCTTGGTACGGTGATGATATGGCCACCTACTCTCAGTGTTGTATTCAATATTGCGTTGAATCCAAATATGTGGAAGAAAGGTAGAACTGTGAGGACTTTATGTTTCGAACCATCTAAAAAAGATAAATAAAACATTAGTCGGTTTGAAATGTTTTTCGAAAAATATAACAATGCTTTCTCTGGCATTTCAACTTGTACAAAAAATACAATACTAGACAGGATTGGCTAATGGATTCCATCAAATACAAAAGGCATCTCAAAACGTTGTTGAGGTAGTATTATTATATGCCGATAACGGTCATTTCCAGAAACTTCTGATGCCCTTCGGTATACCTAAAGAACGTCTTCGATACCCTTAGTAGATTTCTGGATGAAATCTTCAGGTTTCTGAAGTATTTCAGAACCAAATCTGAATATTGCTATTCCTATGCGGGTACACAGAATGCCATGATAAATGGCAGATTCGGACCTTTTCTGATGATTGTCAAGTTAATTAAGATATGGTTTCAAGGATCGTTCAATAAGGGGAGTTTTATAAGAGTCGAGTTGACTCATACCACTGCCTTTCTGCATATACTCAAGTTTTTACGATGAAATTATCTTGAAGTTACTATCGTATAAATACTGAACGCAGCAAATTATTTTTGTTGGCGTTATGTTCGATTATAATTTTGAACACCATTCAATATTTTTACTGTTCCATCAGCATATCGAAAAAGTTCGATATCAACAATGTTTCATCTGAACCGAATGTTTCTGTCATCGTACTCAAAAATACGCCAACGAACTTGCAGCAGTGTTTTGTAGATCTTTCAACCTGTCTTACAAAAAATAGAGTTTTTCTTCTAGTTAAAAGATCCTCATCATCTTCTATCGGAAGTACTTATCTTACATTTACAGAATTTTGTTGGTAATTTTACCTACCGGAGGTAATATACCAATATACCAGGGATCTATTCTAAAAAATATTGATTCATACCCACTAAAGGTTACAGTTTTAGAGATGGCGTATTGTAACCTTGACTCAACAAGAGCGTGGTTCATCATTTTCAACTGAGTAGGTAATGTCATGTATGTTTTTCAGTTTCTGAATCTGTATAATAAGTGTACTTCTAGGTATTTTATAACGGGTGATTTTTTAAGAGCTTGAGAACTTTAAAAAAAAAACGCATAAAATTTGCAAAATCTTATCGGTTCTTTATTTGAAACGTTAGATTGGTCCATGACATTTACTTTTTGAAGATAATTTCATTTAAATGTTGACCGCGGCTGCGTCTTGGAAAGTCCAATTTTGGGCAACTTTTTCGAGCATTTCGGCCGGAATAGCCCGAATTTCTTCGGAAATGTTATCTTCCAAAGCTGGAATAGTTGCTGGCTTATTTCTGTAGACTTTAGACTTGACGAAGCCCCACAAAAAATAGTCTAAAGGCGTCAAATCGCATGATCTTGGTGGCCAACTTACCGGTCCATTTCTTGAGATGAATTGTTCTCCGAAGTTTTTCCTCAAAATGGCCATAGAATCGCGAGCTGTGTGGCATGTAGCGCCATCTTGTTGAAACCACATGTCAACCAAGTTCAGTTCTTCCATTTTTGGCAACAAAAAGTTTGTTAGCATCGAACGATAGCGATCGCCATTCACCGTAACGTTGCGTCCAACAGCATCTTTGAAAAAATACGGTCCAATGATTCCACCAGCGTACAAACCACACCAAACAGTGCATTTTTCGGGATGCATGGGCAGTTCTTGAACGGCTTCTGGTTGCTCTTCACTCCAAATGCGGCAATTTTGCTTATTTACGTAGCCATTCAACCAGAAATGAGCCTCATCGCTGAACAAAATTTGTCGATAAAAAAGCGGATTTTCTGCCAACTTTTGTAGGGCCCATTCACTGAAAATTCGACGTTGTGGCAGATCATTCGGCTTCAGTTCTTGCAGGAGCTGTATTTTATACGGTTTTACACCAAGATCTTTGCGTAAAATCTTCCATGTGGTCGAATAACACAAACCCAATTGCTGCGAACGGCGACGAATCGACATTTCACGGTCTTCAGCAACACTCTCAGAAACAGACGCAATATTCTCTTCTGTACGCACTGTACGCATTCGTGTGGTTGGTTTAATGTCCAATAAAGTAAACTGAGTGCGAAACTTGGTCACAATCGCTTTAATTGTTTGCTCACTTGGTCGATTATGTAGACCATAAATCGGGCGTAAAGCGCGAAACACATTTCGAACCGAACACTGATTTTGGTAATAAAATTCAATGATTTACAAGCGTTGCTCGTTAGTAAGTCTAGTCATGATGAAATGTCAAAGCATACTGAGCATCTTTCTCTTTGCACCATGTCTGAAATCCCGCGTGATCTGTCAAATACTAATGCATGAAAATCCTAAACTCAAAAAAATCACCCTTTACCTTTCTAAGAATGTATTACTTACATATTTCTATTATGCTCTATGTTCCAAGAATCAAAATTAAATGGTGTGATCTTGAAGTTACCAGGAATTTTTCCAAAGTTAACTTGTTAAATTTTTTGACTGAACCGAAAGAATGAATAATTGGACTGCCGTTGAAACTTACCTTTGGCAACCTTATCGTACAACGCCGGATGATTTCCTTGAACAAGATTAGCTACCAGATTGTGATGTGACAACATTACTCCTTTTGGAAGACCAGTTGTACCACTTGAGTAGGGGAGCAGTGCCAGCTCTCTGGGGTTGATCCCTGGTAGTTCACTTTCGTGTCCAGCTTAAACAATAATAACATTGTTGTCGGTTTTCAAAAGATATTTTGGCAATCCAAATCTAATACCTGTAAGTAGACTTTGGAGCCCATGTATATTTTTGGATATATCATCTTCTCCGCCTATGCATATCGTCGACTTATAACCGTCCAATTCTGGAGCAATGGTAGTAGCTACCTCTAGTAGGATAGGCACAGTTACTATCATTTTTACTCCTGCATTCTGAAATTGTCTCTTGATTTCATCTAGAATAAATGAAGTCATTATCAAAAATTATTTTTTTTATAATGGTCGTTCAACCATGTGTTCAAAACAGTTTGAATATTTGATATGTTTTCAGGAAAAAATAAAGAAGAAACGAACAGGAAAAGGGATCTTTGGGTTGAGGATTTTTTGAAAGAGTGAACTTGAAGGTTATTGTTGAAAGTCGATCTGGCCATCCTTGTCTTTTCACCCTGATTTTTTTATGCTTTCTATACATTCGTAGTAATGATTGATAAATGAAGAGTGTTTTTATATTGAGCAGGTTGGTATCTTTATACAGTAATAGAGTGGAGAATAATCTATCTTTTTTCAGTATAATCTTAATCAAGATGTTTTGTGCTGTCTATAAAGATTGTAATGTGGCAATGAAAGCACCACCCCATGCGACTATGCAGTATCTGATGATTGATTCAGCGAGACTATTGTACATAATATTCATGTTTTTTCTTGAGAGAATTTCTCTCAGGATATAAAATTTGTGACTTAATACTCTTATCCTTTTTGTCACATGGGATATGTGTTCAGACCAACGTATGTATTGGTCTATTATAATACCTAAATATTTTATCGATGATGTTGTTTCTAAAATCGGACTACTGCATGTATCGTTATCACAGGTGGAAGTGTGTATTTTAAGAATGAATTGGGATGGTTGATCTACTATGGATAGGGAGAAAGTTATGTATTTTGTTTTCTCAATGTTTAAACTCAGTGAATTGTGGTTCAACCATAGTAATACTTTTTTCAAACCCGACTCCGCTTTATAATTTACTTCTTCCCAATTCTCACCTGTGATAATTAGAACTGTGTCATCTGCATAACATATAAGATGTCCCATAAATTCATTTATCTGAGCTATACTGCTTATGTAAATAAGAAACAATATCGGACCCAATACCGTTCCATGTGGTACTCCTATTTCGACCTTTAACTCCGAACTAATTTCTTTTCCAATTTTCACTACTTGGCATCTCTCAGATAAATAATTCCTCAAGAGATCAATTACTGAGCCGCGTATACCATTTTTTTTGTTAGTTTATCAAGCAGTTCGCTATGGGAAACAGTATCGAAAACTTTGGCGAGATCAAGGAAGACCGCAAGACTCTTAGTTGATTCGTCTATGGCTTTTACTGTGTGCTCTAGAAAATTAAGTATTTAATTTTCTGTGTTTGATCCTTTTATGAATCCATATTGTCTGTCGGTTATGACATTGTGGATCTCCAAAAATTGAAGCATTCGGTTTTTTAAAGCCTGTTCGAATATTTTGGCAAAGTTATTTATTACGGATATTGGTCTATAATTTGTACGCTGACTGGAATCGCCAACTATAATAGATAGATAATAGATTAATTCCACTGCTTCAGGATTTCTCCATATGTAAAACATAAGTTGATGATTTGTACCAGAGGTTGAGTTAGATGCTTGTGAATATTTTTTATCGTCAATGATGTGATTGTGTCCAGTCCAGGAGCGCAGTGATTTTTCAGTTTTGATATGAGGATTGCAATCTCGTTTGTTGTGATCGGATTCGAAAATATTGAGGAAACAGTTGACGTTTGATTTAAGGAATGTTCAGATATACCTATTTGTTTCATCAATCTCTTTTGCCATTTTCAGTCTCAGCTTAACAAAGCACTCATTGAAAGTATCTGCCTTTTTAAATCGTTAATATGTTATATCGTTAATATGTTAATACTCCGACAATGTGAGAAACACTAAGCTTATACAAATGAGAACCTTTGATATTCTCCACAATAAACTGACACTTTGTACTTAACTACAAATACATATAATAGATCTTTCTTCTGTTATGCTAAAACCATACTGTACTGAACGAGATTACTCTTAAGCGAGAGATAAAGAAAACAGGACACATGCTATTGGTTCCCTAAGGTAGGTAGATATCCCTTGACAATTAGACAATTACACAGTGGCGTAACAGTGTTTAAGGCAACTCATTTTGAATTTTATTTATATTCCCAACATTTAAAATATTTTTAATTTCTGTCCGAACGTGGATTTCTACCGAATGTTTTATATAAGAATAAGCTGAAAAATTTGTGAATGAAGACTCGATATTGAAATATATGAGATATTTTGCTATAATTTACGTGGCATTCGAGTACTTTTTTCATGAATCACAGGAGCAATAATTTCCTAGGTATTAGATGGATTCTCAGCGTATGAATGTGGAAAGAGTTTGATTTCTTTTCAAATTTATTTCTCCTACCAACGTTTGATAATAGTTAGGAGATTATTGCATGACACGTTTTTTACGTACGAACGCAGTGAACGAATGCCAGAATTTCGCATTACACAAGTTGCATATTGTGATTTAGTAAATAATTTACCCCAGTTATATTTCAATTTTGCTCTATCAGGAATTATTTGTTTCTGATGTCTTTTTCAAATCAGTTTGGTAAATAAACAATGCATTTTTCGTTTGTAACCTGCATACTGAAGATAATAATTTGTGTGATATCGAATATCCAAAGGAACATATTATGTTGTTTCAAAAGTTTTGTCCGTTTCAATGTCATGTGTTTCTGAAGTTTCATATGTCAATAAATATTAATTCTACTGTGTCGTTGTATATAGTGTTGTGAATCATGCCTTAAAAAAATAACGCCAGCCGCCACTGGTAGCCACAAACCAATTGTGACGTAGCTAAGAGCGCGCGAATGTACGATGTTCGCTGCCGCCCTAGATGCAGATTTCGATGGAATTCCGGTGAAATTTTCTAGAGCATTCTGCTCCACGACCGTCCGAACGTTTCACAAATTACCGTCCGATAATTAAAGGAATTGAGCGTCAAAGTTCTGCTTCACCCACCATACTCCCCAGACCTCTCGCTAACCGACTATCATCTTTTCAAACACTTCGATAACTTTTTCACAAGTAGAACTTCGCCAATCAGGACCAGGCAAAAACGGCCTTCGTCGACTTCATTTAATCCCGAGCACCCGATTTTTATGTCGACGGAATGAATTTACTGAGATATTACAGTTTGATTTCAGGATAAAAATGCAAAAATAGAAATTGGTACAGAAAAAGTTTTGCTTTTTGTGATGATAAAATTAGGTAAATTCCAAACACTAGAGCTTGAAAGTTTATATAATTTTAACTTATCGTAAATTATGAAATATTTTTATTTTTTAGTGATTCGATTAAAAGTTGGCGTTATTTCCGTTTCTTCAATTTTACTTGTGGAAATAGATTGTTAGTCCCCAGTCGTTTTTTGTTACTGTCGCCAACGGTCATGAATTATATTAGAAATACACGGTAAAACTGCAATAATATACTTGTGTTTGGAACCTTTGGTGTAGTAATGAATATTACTGGAGTTTTTTCCCAACACCAAATCGTTATTTTTAACAACTCGACACGTGTTTCGATCACCAAGTGATCATCTTCAAGAGGAAGATTAAACTGAAAAAACTTGCAAGGCTAAAAATATTTAACTATACAGGTATACCATACAGGTGTAGGTACCACATATACAGATATACCACACCTTTGGTGTCTTAAATTAATTTTACAATTTGTTTTATCTATTAATTTCACAATACGTCTAATCTAATCTTATCTTATTTTTTTTATTAGCATGTGAGTGCCTATGATGGTGATATAGGACACGTAATACCACGTTAGTAGATGGATATATGTCAGCATATGCTGGACATGGCACATACCTCTATACCCATCATGATACCATGGTAGACTAAGATGTTGAATACACAATTGAACCTCTTAATGTTCGACATTAACCTAGTCGACCCAAGAAAAACGAAGGTCAGATGCTATGATTATCTGAAGTTATTATTTTGAAAAATATGTGATTTGGTTTTTCATAATTATTGACGAACTGAATAGACTTTGCGTAATTGGTTGCAATAAGTAAAATTTTTGACACCTGTAACAATTTTTAAAATTGTCGAAATTAAACAAAAACTCATTCATACTACGTCATGAAATGTACAAATTCTGAAACGTGATATATAAAAAACTAATCTGACGTAGACTGGACAAAAAGGTAAGACCTCGTTAATCCTTAGCTCGCACAAGTTTCGACTTCTGAGGGTTGTCGTTCATAGGGGTGCGACAGCTGGTTAACGGAAAAACAGATTTTAAACTCACCTGGTGTATACAATGGGTTTACAAATGTGACTGTCAATCCAGCTTCCATGGCACCGTGACAAATTATAGCAAATTCCGGTATATTTGGCAACAATAGACCAATAACTTCTCTAGGTTTAAGTCCACAGTGACCTAAAAGTGCCTGCGCACATCGATTGATGAGCATTCTGAGCATCCCGTAATTGTAACTTCGACCCGTAACCGCACACGTCTGGAAAAAGGAAATGCTTGAGTAAAAAAATACTTGATTACATTCCTAGGAATAGTTGAGAAACATAGATAGATAGATAGTTTTTAATTCAGGTCGATATCAATATTACAAAGTTAATATAAACACATATGAAGTAAACGATGTAAATGTATTCTATTTCTAGCAGTTTGAGGTCACCTAAGCTGAGCTTGTATCTTTCAAGCTGCTTAATTTTATCTGAACATAAAATGATATAGGCACTAATGTACTAATGCTATCTGACTAAAAAGGTAACTTAGTTTTAGAAAACAGTTTGAGTAGAGACATATATAGGAATTGATATGAATATAAAGATATAAATATTGATGTAGATCAAGGTGGAGTATACACTGATGGAGGTTTCCGATTCAGTGATTCTCAAAGATAATTTTCAGTTGATTATGATGGTTTTTAATGAATAGTTCCATTTCTTTTTTGAGTTTTTTATGGCTACTGACATTTTTTATAAGTGTCGGTAGGCAACTGAATTATTGTTAGTGAAAGTAAGTATCTGAAATGAGCAGAATAATATTCTTCCAGGCAACCAGGCCGGAGTATTAATGAATCCAAGGGTGACATCGAAACCGGTCTGAGAATGACGTGAAGAACTGAAGAAAATAGATTTATTTTGTACTGTATGACTTGTCGCTCAGAAATAATAAACAAGCTGATGAGTGTGCTAGTGCAATTTTATACAGGACTCACACGGGGAAATCTTTATAAAGAAACCGTTTGAGAAAAAATACCGAATTGAATTTTAAGTGAACTCATAGACACTATCAATTTAGAGAACGAACGAAAAGATTGTATGAGGAAGACCTTACGGGCAAATAATTCAAAAACCCAGAATACAGGAGGCAAGCCAAATTATGTCAAGAAGGATATGACAAATATCCAACAAAGGACCAGCAGTGTTTACCGGGGACTTGGAAGAAATAGGCAAGTTAGAAGGCATTGAGACAAATATAGGGTGTATATAGGGAAGAGGAATATGGGAAATATACTGGAATAATTTGGAAAAGTAGCCAGTGACCGAAGAATGCAGAGAAATATCTAGCGAACATAAAAAATATTTTTTCTACTCCCGTACATGAAATAGTACTTTCACACACCGTGTACGAATCGTAAAATGTAATTTCACGCCCTTGTGCGTGAAATTATTTTTACGCCCTAGGGCGTGAAATAAAACCCATAAGAATAACATGGTACATTCAAGTGTTTTTATTACCAGTGCGTGAAATATACTCATAAGAAATACATTGTAGTCTGTCCATAAGACCTAATACATGAATATTTCGCTGATAGGCGGCCTTAGTGCATCTTTTGTTTAAGAGCAGCAATAAATCATAAATAAACTGTCAAAATAGCTTGATCATTATTGTTGTGAGCTCATTGTTGAGAGTTAATTATTAATATTTTAACATTATATTATAATGGATTCTGATCATTCAGATATACGAAGTACCCCGCCGGATGTTATGGATGCAGCCAATGAGGCTAGTAAGACTTTATTACCCCAAAAATCATTGAGCGTGTATGAAAATACGTATGAGAAATTCATGGCATGGAGGAAAACAAAGAATATCAATTCATTTTCTGAAAACGTAATATTGGCATATTTGTCAGAATTATCCAAGAACTTTAAGGCAGCAACACTTTGGAGTAATTTCTCAATGCTAAAAAGTACCATCAGCATTAAAAAAAACATAAATATTGACTATTCTAAGGTACGTGCTTTTTTAAAAAGGAAGAGTGAGGGATACGTTCCCAAAAAATCCAGAGTTTTGGAGAAAGAACAAATACTGAAGTTTATACAAGAAGCTCCTGACGAAAAATTTTTATTGACCAAGGTAAGTTTAATGTCTCATGGTAGTATTAAATAAATAGAAAATAATATCTATAAATAAAGTAGATCCTAATAAGTATAGTTGGCCAAATCAGATATATTATCTAAAACTATGTTAATGTGATATCTAACTATGATCTTCTAAATTATTTTGAATTGGGCGTTGAGAATCGCGTTTTCACACATATATTTGTAAATACGAATGGTTCAGCGGTAGTGCGTCGGCCTCGCGCGCCCGAGGACCTGGTTTCGATTTCTGACAGCCATAATCTTTTTTAGTTTCTATATTGTAATTTCTTTTTCTTTTAGGTTATACTAATATTTAGACTTGCTGGAGCTCTTAGAAGAGATGAACTGTATAAACTGAAAAATATTGAAGATTTAGGTACAATACTCATAGTAAACGTCCATGATACAAAAACCAAAATCTCAAGAAAATTTACCATCACGGAACATCTTGAATTATACCGAAAATATACGGCACTCCGTCCGCAAAAATACGCAAAAAAAAATTATTTATTAATTATCAAGGTGGAAAATGTACCTGCCAGATCGTTGGCCACTGTTTTAGGCGGTCATCCGCCACGTTATTAGTAGAAGCTGGAGGCGATTTGCTTACCTTAAAAAAACATGGAGGTTGGAAATCCTCTGCAGTGGCAGAGCATTATATAGAAAACTCAATTACTCAGAAAATTGATGTGGCAAATAAAATTTTATCGCCTCAAAATCAAATTTCCTCAGCCCCTATCGCCACTACTTCTATCATCTCAACTTCCAAGTCAAGAAACACACTAATAGAAAAATCAAATGCTGCAGGTGTAAGTTTTGGAATGGTCACAGGTTCCAATATTACCATTAATAATCATTATTATTCCACATCAGAATGAAAACCAAAAATAATAATCTCAGTATAAGAATTAATTGTTAATTTTATAATATAGGTACTTACTAATTATTCTGAAATTCAATAAAGCTCTTTAAACTAATGGTGCTTAATTTTCTCTGTATGGTCGTAGAAAAAGTATAGTGTGCAACATGTGCGTGAAGACTTTTTTACACTCGCGTTGTTTGCGACACTCGCCTGAGGGCTCGTGTCGCAAATTCCACGCTTGTGTAAAAAAGTCGATTTCACGCACTTGTTACACAATATACTATTGGTGGTAAAACCAGCAACTGATTCTTATTTATTGCAGCAATGTTTCATTACCATGGTTACCAAGAAGCAACATTTGCTCGCCCATTGAGAAAATTCATTATAATTTGATTGTTCAAAAGTAACTCACCGCTGCTGGTTCTTCCATATGGTGTTCCATATCTTTGAATATATATTCAACCAGATTATCATTAGGAATTGGATCACAATCGCCAAATGGTGATTTAACTATTCCTGCTCCTAGATGACGTACACTTCTTTTCAGTCTTTCGGAGCCTTTCAGAAAAGTTCGCTTCTTGGAGTTAGTATTCAAGCTGTATTGTCTCTCATTTTTCCCGAAGGCGTTCGGAAGAAGTGAGAGTATTCCATTTTGGTAAGTTTGGAGGAGTAAGGTTGTTTTCTGTCTCAAATGTAGCACCGACATAGTTGAATTCAAAATTTTAAGCTTAGTAGAAAATTATCACAGGTTCCAGCCCTGGAATAATAAAATGAGATGTATTTGTATAGTGAAGAAATAAATGGACAAGATGTTTTTCAATTCGAGTATATATAAGGATTACACTGATAATATAATGAAGGTTACCCACTAGTGAGGTAACAAAAGTTTACTACCAATATTAATTTTCAAATATAAGTACGTTGTTTGTTGATACCCTTGAATTTTTTATCTGTAATAATCGAACGCACTCAATACCTCTGGAATAGTTTGAAAGATCAGTACCAATCTTGATTTGTAACTATTATTGAACACGAAAACTTGAAATTGATCGGGAGAAATTGAACAATATGAGCAAAGCCAGCAGAATTATGTTTGTGTGGCCCAAAACTCGGGTCGAGCCGTAGAATTATTAATTCGAATTATGGAAGGGTCCTGACCCCTTTGTATCCCTTAGAGATGAATTTATAAAAATAAACCCTGATATTGGTGTCCACGAGTATCTAACTAAGTGCAATCAGGGGTCTAACTCCCTTTTGAACCCCTTTAGAGTTCAAATCATCTGAAAGAACAATTCGTTGAGGCCAGTCTCAACTCCGTTCACTGTAGGATTATATCCGATTATATTCGTTGGATTCGTTGTATTAGCCAGGGGAGTAGTAGTCTTCTGATAGGTGTCAGTCCATTAACCTACAATGTAGGGAGTTGAGACTGACCTGAACGAATTGTTCTTTTAGAAGATTTTATTCATAGCCAGTCTTCAAGTATGTCCACTATATGTGAAAAGCCCTTTAGAGTTGCCGAACCCAGACTTTACATTTCGATACCAAAGTTGTAAACTGAGTTGTGAACTGGTTGTGTGCCTGGTGGAGGAAAAATAACGTACAGAATGGTTGAAGCAGCATCTAAAAATAAAAAAATCATTTTGAAGATCATTCCCATTTTTGCAAATTTCAGAATTCTAAAAGTGCGCGCATGCTCAAAAGGAAACCGCGCAAATGGACTTTTCTAAGGATATTTTGCAGACTTTTTCAACCTGTCTTACAAGGAAGGGGCTTGTCCTTCTTATTGGAAGATTGCCCGCGTTCAGCCTATTTTCAAAAAGTCCAAGAAAAATCTTCCAAATAACTATAGACCAGTCGCTTTGCTATCAGTGATATAAAAAATCAAGGAGAAAGCCGTAAACCACCATATTCTCGAATATCAATATGGCTTTCGGAGACAAAAATCAACAGGCGACCTTCTATCGTATGTCACGTTTGGAATAACGCAATCGAGAAACATGGGTAGTCAAGAGCTGTTGCGCTTGATATTTCTAAGGCCTTTGACCGTGTGTGGCATGAGGGTTTGCTGGCCAAACTTCGGTGCTATGGCTTATAGGATCATTTTTATGCATGACTCCCCAGCTTCCTGAAAGAACATTCTCTGCAAATGGCAGTCAATGGATATCTCTCGAATACTTTTACCAATCTGGAACCCCAGGGATCCAGATTGTCTCCAACCCTCTTTTTATTGTATATCAACGACTCATTGGAAAACACCAAGAATCCAATATATTGCTTTGCTGATGACAGCACATTCCAGAAGATGGGCTACGGATGCACATCTTCACCGGCAGCAGCATATCTTAATGGGGATCTAGAAGTGATTTCCAATCGGGATAAATGTAACCACGTTCAAATCAATGCCACAAAAACCCAGGCATCGTTTTTTTTCCAAAAAAATAAATGTTGTTGGGCGCTTAAAATGGACACCAATATGTCTTTGTACAATCATGTCGCTGGAATTTGCAAAGGTTGCTTCTCAAAAGCTTGGAACACTGTTCCTAACCAGAAAACTGTACACACTTCAGCAACTTTTGATGTTTTATAAAGCTCAGATGAGATTTTTTTTGGAGTATTGTACTTCCTTTAAGGATACCTTGAAACTGCTGGATCCCATCCAGAAGAGAGCCATCCGCCTGATTGGAAAGGCGAACATCACTTTTAACCTTGACAGTCTGGAACTTCGAAGAAAGGCTAGAGATTTGTCTCTCTTCTAGAGATACTTTCACGGAAAGTTTCAAGTGACTTGGCACATTTGATTCCACCAAGATCATATATCAGAAATACGCGACGGACTTTGGCTGCTTATTATTTTGAGATTCACTGTTTGAGAACACTTTCATTTGGAGAACTCCGTATATGTGGAATAGAATTCCTGAGAAAGTTTTGTTTTTTCAAATGGATATAATCTCCAACGACTCAAATCCAATGTGCATCGCTACTTTCACACAGAGACCACTCTTAGAGCTTAGAGCGCCTTAAGCGTTTTCCTGTAGTACTTGTGTTTTATCCTTGAAAAAAAGATTCATATCAGATTTATCTGATGATAACACACCATACTTTCTGCTTTTTGCTTACATCTTTTCAAATGAGCATACCTATTCATCATTGTGTAAATATTTTAAATTCAAATGGTATAACAATATCAATTGTATACAGGGTGTAACTGAATAAGTGTAAAAAATTCAAGGAGGTGATTCCTCATCAAAAAAAAAAGATAGGATCTTTCATATAAAGAAACTTAATTGGAGCATCCCTTGTTAAGATACAGCCCCTTAAAGGGGGTACATAAAATGTGTATAACAATTTTTTTCACAAGCACTGGAAAAGTTACAATATTGAAATTAACCTGACGTTTTGTACTACCAAGAAGACACTTAGCCAGTGATTTATTTGGGTTACCCCATTGTTGTAAGGGGTGGAAAACACAACCCCTAAAATAATTTATTTCCAATGTAACTTTTTGTCTTATCATTTGTTTACCATTTAAAAATATATTTCCGATAGCCTGTTTCATTCTAAACAAAAAATGTCTCTTGGTTTTTTTGCCCAAAATAAACCAGGTCGCAGCAAAAAATCATTTTACGAACAACTACAGAGATACGTCGTCATAAATGCGAACTGGATTTATTGTTATTTTGTAGTTAGTACCTGCATTGAACGATTGAAGGGTAATAAACAAAACTAATTTATTAATAACAAAACACACAACATGTAGAAATCATAGTAAATGTTCAATATTTCTAACTTCAGTTGTGGAATTGGCCGCGGTGGTAGTGCGCCCGACTCACGATCGGAAGGTCGTGTGTTCGATTCCCGCCTCGACCAGATATTTTTCTCGAGAGAATTTATCTGGTTGAATCTGGAATGATTCTGCAACCGTGTTAGGAATCACACGTTAAAAGGTAAGACCTCGTTAGTCCTTAGCTCGCACAAGTTTCTCAACTTCTGAGAGTTGTCGTTCGTATGGGGGCGGCAGCTGATTAACGGAAAAACAGATTTCAAACAGATTTCAGATATTACGCATGCGTTATATGTTATATGCTGACGTGCTACTTGACTAAAATGGGCGGGAGCCTCATCATGCATAAAAAAACATATCCCTTCTGACGCCCAAAAGAACTTCCTCCAGCAGTACTGGATGCACTTCTCTTGAAAATTGAACGTATGCCTCACCATTTAATCGAGGAGGTAGAAAATGAGGCCCAATTAAATCATCCCCAATAACTTCCAGCCACACGTTAAGTGAAAACTATTCTTGATGGTTAGTTTCGACAATTGCGTGAGGATTTTCATCAGCCCATATGTGGTAATTATGAAAATTAATAGTTTTGTCCCGAGAAAAACTACAGTCGTCTGTGAATTCAATCGTCTTCAGAAAGTCACAATTTCGTCTAATCATTTCCAGCATCCAATTGCAAAATTCAAGACGGTTCGGAAAGTCTCGCGGTAACAGTGCCTGTACTCGTTGCAGATGGTAAGGGTATAAGAGTTGTTCCTATGAAATTCGAAATACCGTCATATGATCAACATTTAGCTGGAAAGCAATCTTTCTAGTACTGGTAGTAGGTTGTTCTTCAATCAAATTAAGTACTGCTTCCTCAAGCTGTGGTGTTCGTACTTCTCGATGGCGACCACAATCCTGCGTTCTTTTGTCGAATGAACCATATTCTCGTAATCGTTGATGAAGTCGAGCAAATATTTTATGTGAAGGATGCTGCCGTTTAAGATTAATTCCAGCATATCTTCTAGTAGCTTCTAACCCATTCCCCTGGGACTAACGTAATGCATATCAGCCATTTCCTCATTTGTGTATGCCATTTCAATAACAAGTGAATTATTAAATTAACAAATTAAGAACAGAACAACAACACACAATTAGTATTACTTCAATTTCGAAAATTCACAAACTGACAGCGTCATACCAATTCAATTGTCACTATCGCTAATTGCGACCTACTAGATAGATTAATTTCGTATTTTCGCATTTATGATGATATATCTCTGTAGTTGTTCGTAAAATAATTTTTTGCTGCGAACTGGTTTATTTTGGGCAAAAAACCCAAGAGACATTTTTTGTTTAGAATGAAACAGGCTATTGGAAATAAATTTTTAAATGGTAAACAAATAATAAGAGACAAAGTTACATTGGAAATACATTTTAGGGGTTGCGTTTTCCACCCTTTACAACCATGGTGTAAACCAAATACATTTCAGGCTAAGTGTCTTTTTGGTAGTACAAAACATCAGGTTAATTTCAATATTGTAACTTATTTAGTGCTTGTAAAAAAAATGTTATACAAATTTTATATATCCCCTTCAAGGGGCTGTATCTTAACAAGGGACGATCCATTGAAATTTCTTTATATGAAAGATCCTATCTTTTTTTCGATGATGAATCACCTCCTTAAATGTTTAACTCTTATTTAGTTACACCCTGTATGAATAAATAAACATATTCATTCGTTTCAACAAGTATTTCTGATTGAATACCAAAACACACGCCACTGCAGGTAGAAAACGACCCGCGAACGCTTATAAAATAATTTTTTGCGACCCGTTTGCAATACAAAAATAGGGTGGATCTGGTATAGTAGGATATACCCGTCTATATCGGCCGTGACAAATCATAACAAAATCACAAACTTTTATTTGAGCACTGTGTTAGCGATTTGCATTTTCAATGAGCATTCATTACTTTGTACTATTAGGAGA